ACATATGTGAATATTATACATATATTATAAATTCAAATATTTATAATAAAGAAATAAATAAATAAAATTTTTAAATAAAATAAAATTCATAATTTATAAAAATTTATTATTGATAAATAATAATATAACAAATAAAGTAAATATATATATATTTTCTTGTATAATTATATATGTATGAGCAAATGCATACACAAATATATATCACACATCATAAATTCTTTATAAATCAATTTTTATTACAATGCTTTCTTAATTTATTAAAAATCTCAGTAATCAGCGAAATGACCAAGCAGTGCCTCTATGCTTTACAAACACAAATTGTTCCTATTCTTCATTGACATAATTATTTATCTATAATAATACTGGTATCTGTATTATTACAATCAATTGAAATAAATTATTTAATTCTTCAATAATATATGAAATATTTTAATCCTAAAATATATTGAACATATAAAATTTTTATATTGAACATATAAAAATTTATTGGTACAATTCAATTTAATTATAATAGTTTAATAGTTTAATTATAAATAAATAAACTCTTAATAAAGTTTATAATTACACATAAATTTTAAAATATAGGTAATTGATAATTTAATAAGAGAGCAGCTAGAACTTTGTTAGATATCTTTTCTAGCCGAGTTCTCATTCGTACTGCTAATTTATTTGATTTTTTTAAATACATAGCAGAATGATGTAATGCAATTGTATATGGAATAGGACACCAATTTTGATTCACAATTCCCCTAACAAGTGCTGTTATGTAACTTTCTATTAAAGATGTATCTTCCTCAAAAGGATATAAATATTCTTTTAATGGAATAATTAATTGTTCTAATGGTAATCTAATATATCGAAGTAAACCTACGTGTTCCGACCATAACAGTTTTCTATAATGAACATCATGTCTTTGTGAAATTGGTATCAATAATGCCATTGAAAAACCATAATCACCATAGGAAGTTGAACAAAAATGTTCACACATAGCAGTAAACAAATCTGTAAAAGAATTAAGTCCTGGCAGATCTATTGTAAAATTAAATTTTTTGTAGTTATCTTTTACTAAAATTGTAATGACTTTAGTAAGTAAAATAGAAACATCATTATTCAAATATAACGTATCGCACAAGTATATCAATATTAATCTACTAAATCTCAAAGTTTGCGACAATTTTTCAACTAAATCCGGTAATATTAATTCTAAACTCAATACGGTTAAGACAACAGTTTTGTCATTATCATTACATATATTATTATTTCTATATTTTGTATAGATATGTACAATAGGTAAATAAAACCAATCTTTAGGCATTGCTGCTTGATCCCATTTACCATTTAATGTTATATACTGTTCGTATAAACTAGAAACATCTTGATTTAAATTTAATTTGATATCTTCTATATTTGAATTTAAATTTAATTTTTTTAATTCATTCGTTATTATTTTTATATTTAATTTTTCTTTTGCTAATGAAATCCTAAGCATATTTTGTACATCAGATGAATAATCAGCAGGTAAAGATGATACAAGTTTAATAGCAATTTTCCAAATAGTATGCATCATCTTATCATCCAATTTATCTTCAACAAAGAGAGTTGCATTTACTATAGCAACCAAAAAAGAAAATTCTGATCTTGTATACCATGATCTTTCTAAACACCAATCTGTTGTTTCTAATTTTTTTAAATACTTATAAAGTTGTGGAAGATTGAGTATTGCCTGGATTTCTTCTATGAAAGAATGATCAATAAATATATTTAAAACTGTAGCAAGAAAAGGCATACAAGATTGTTGAGATACAATAGGTTGTAATTGGCCATCATATGTTAACACATTTAAATGAGGTAAAGCAGAAGGATTGCGTTCAATAGCTAAAGAACAATTACTTAACAAATTTGAAGTAGAACTAAAAAATAAAAATATAAAAATTAGAACATTGAAAATTGTAGTAAAAAATTTAATATAACAATCTTAAATTCTTAATTTCTACTTACCTGAGATTGGAAAATACTTTTGATCGAGATATGTTTAATTTTTTAATTACAGTACTATCTTTTATTGCCAATAATGTTTCTGCAATCAATTTTGTATTACCCCACTATAATATAATATAATTATGTAATATAATAGTAATAATACTTTATAATGCATATATACTCATATTTTATATTATATTTTAATTAAACATACCGTGATATTATCTAAAGATAGAAGTTGTATACTCCATTTAAATAATAAAACTGATATATTTGCTTTTAGAGATACTAAACAACTTGCAACAGCAATTAAAGCTGCTGCATATTCACAAAATAATTCAGAAATGTTTTGAATATCGTGATTACTTAACAAAAGTTGTAATTGGGATATAAGAATTAATTGTGCCCCACTTAAACTATCTGTTGCCTCTTCATACAGCAATAAAGTCCTCCACAATCGTAAACTTTCAATGCTGAGATTAAAACTTATTTTTCTATTAAAAAATTTTTTTTATATAATATTTATATATAAAAAAATTCCTATTGATATTAATTAAATTAAAATAAATAATATATAATATTACCTTGCATCACAAGTGATGTACGAAATAATACGTTGTACAATTTTAAGATTATTTAATTTTTGTGCAACAGATTTCTCTCCATAACAAAGTAAAACACGACAAAATCTAACTGCAGCAACTACTGGTACTCCATAAACGTTATTTATAGTATCTGTTATTGCTATAAATATAAAAATATATAAATTTTGATTAGTATTATCTCTAAATATGAGAATATTTATACGAATATTTATATAAAACATATATAAAAACCTAATGCATTTGTAGATAACGGTATAAAATGTTCAATTATAATCTCCAATAAATGTGAAGTATTTGCAATTTTTATAGTAGTAATAGGCGAATGTCGTACAAGTCTAATTAAAATTTCCAATGCACAAGTTATAGCAACTGGTGATGGCCGCACTTCATTCAAAATATAGCTACAAATAATTTCAATTAGTTTTTTTAATAAATTTTTCATAGTATTTATTCAGAAATAAAATAATTGAAAATACCGAATTCTTAAAAGTATATCAGTTCTTAATAAACCAGCAATTGCATCCAATTGCACTAGTTCATGATCTTTTAAATTATTTATATCATCAACATCAGTTTTTGATGTTGTTAAAATAGGTTCTTTATAATTTTTAAAACCATATAATCTATCTAAACAAATTTCATCCTCTTCACTATATAAAAAAGCTCTAAGTGCTTGTAAAGTTGCTGTAATCACAGCTACTGATGTATCATCCAAAGAAAATCTTAATAATAATAAAAGATTTCTTTGACTTAATGCAATCAAGGGTGGAGGTTGTAATACTTTATCATACCAACCCTTACGACTTTTTTCTATAATATTTGCTAAAGTTATAAGAGCTGTACAACGTTGTTGTTGTGTTGATGATCGAGTAAGTTGCAATAATTCTTGTAAAGAATAACCAGGACGTTCAGGTTCTTCTCCATGATGATGTAAACCTTTTTGCATAGATATATTGTCATCTTTATAAGCTAATAATACACCTATTAAAAAATATTACAAAAATATTTTAAAAATATTGAAATGCATTTTTTATTTTTTTTTTTTAAATAGATTGATATTTGAAAACTTACCATTAAAGTCAAAACGAGCATTGTATGGTTCATCTGAAGCAGATTCATTTGTTTTTTCTGCAGGTATATCTTCCATCCATTTTAATTTTTCATATTCAAGAGAATCCATATGTATCCAACCTTTTTCTTTAGCTTGTTCCATTAATTTTTTAGAAGATTTTGGTATATTTTGTTTAAGATCATCTATTTGTATAATATTATCATTATTTTTTATTGAATCATCATGTTTATTAGAAATTTTTTCTACAATTGTTTTTTTTATAAATGTAGATTTCACACTTTGATCTTGAACTTCATTATTTGATATTTCATTATTTTCTCGAATCTTATTTATTTTTTGTTTTTTAATTCTTTTATCTCTTAAAAATTGTATTAATTCTGGTTTCAGAGTTATTTCAAGTTTATTTTTTTCTTTTAATATATCTTCTTGACTCATCTGATTTAATCGTTCTAAATTTTCTTTATGTATTTCATTTGCCCATGATCCTTCTATAATAACACTTTTATCACTAATGCATAAAAAATCAGAACTTTGGAATTCTTTTATATTATTTGAAGCATTACTTTTAGGAGAAATTTGTTGCCAAAATAAACTTTGACTTTTATCATTCTTCTAAAAAGATAAATAAATAAATTGGAATCAATATATTGAAATATTATAATATTATTTATTTTTAAAAAATATATTTATATATACCATATCTGTAGAAACAAAAACTTCAGGAAAACCTGTGTTATAACAAAAGAATTTTTTTTTATCAAATTTATATGTATCATATTTTTTTTCCACAATATTTCCTATTATTATTTTTGAAGATGTTATATTTTGGACAGAATCCTGTAATTTGTTTTTTTCAGTTTCTTTAATTAAAGGATTTATAATATTACCACTTCCTTGCGAAGTACATATTCTATCTTCTGTTTTTAATTTTTTTAATTCAGAAAATTTTGATTTGACTTTATTAAAACTCTTGTGCTTATAAGGAATTGCAGTAAAAGTAGTATTTAAAGATTTTGTGGATTCCTTTAAATTAATTACTTTAGCTGATGGTTGTTGTTTGTTTCTTAAAAATTCTTCTTGCATACGAAATAATTCTTCTTCACTATCAGTTGGTTTAGGTCGCTTTAGAACTGAATTTCCATCCATTATAATTTAAAACTTATTTTTAAATTCCAAAATTTTAATTCTTATTATTAAATATTATTTTATATTTATTTTTATTTCTTATCTTTATGATTATATTTCCACAATTGATAGTTTTATTAATTTTTTTATTTATTATTTTGTATAACTTTATATATCAATTTACTTTATTTTTTTCAAATATTATGATAATATTTAAAATTAATATATTTTAAGTAAAAATTTTTACTTGTTATTTGGATATGATCATGAATATTTATCAATATACAATAAAATTGCATTGTTATTGCATCGTTGCTATATCTGGTCTCGTGTCAAAAGCAATCATAGAAAAAAACAAATAATGGAAGAAAAATAGATTGTACATACATAGATTTAACTTTGCTTTTGAAATGTTTTTAACACTCAAGAGATGGCATTGATGGTTTTATCTATCTTTTTTCCCAATATTTTTATCTTTTCTTTTGTTTTATTTATTTATGATATTTTAATGCCGTTGATTCCCTAATTTTTAACTAATCTTAGTTCTTTTCCTACCATTTATTTTTTTTTATCAATATTTGCTTTATATTTTGATATTTAATTAAATTTTAATTTATTGTCTTCTTTTCAAATCATCGATATCTTATCTATTATCTACTGCAAGAATTTTTTATACTTATCACAATATTTATAATTACATTTATTAATAATGTGTATAAATAAATTTAATTTATATGTATATAATAAATTAATAAATTAATATATTATATTATTATATTAATTAATTTATTATTAATAATATTTTAATATTAGTAATAATATTATAAATCAGTTTTTATAAAAAAATCATAATTTGATATTATTTTTATCATATAGTAAAAAATACAAGCATAAATTTTAATTCATAAATAATTGAACTTGTATGTCTGTCTACTTTCATAATAAAGTATCTAAAATTTATAATAATTGAGAAATCTATGAATGATATTCATATAATGCATAGTAATATTTATGAAAAGATATATTAAAGAAATTATATTTAAAATTTATTTAAAATTATAATTGCAAAATAACAATATAATTTATAAAATAATAAAATAATAAAAAATTGTAAAAATTATTAGAATTTAAATAACCTTGAATAGTCTGCTACATGCACAATAAAGATAGTAAATGCATGTATGCGTGTGTGCATGTGTACGTAATATTTTAAGTTTACCATATGTACACGTTACATAGTTATCATTTGTCGTTATTGATAGTAAACATTCCATTTAATTTAAAGTTGTATTTTTCGTAGTGTTGTTTAAAAATCAATAAGAATGTAATAATAGTGAATTATAATATACACAAATTATAATTTTTTTCAAACATTTATATAATGTTATTACATCTGATACGTTTTCTTTGTTAAAGGTTATGAGTCATAGCCAGTTTCTTTATAGAATTTATCATTAACTTGTGCTTCCCATAAAATAATTATTCTATCATTGAAAGAAATTTTGAATATGATAAAAATATTAATGAAAAGAGAAAATATAAGAAAGAATATAACATTAAAAATATTGAAAAAAAAAATAAAATATAAATATTGATGTATTATATAGTGAATTATATTTATAATTATTATAATATAAAAAAAAAATCATTTAAAATTTAAAGAATGTTATGAAGATTATATTATTACATTATATTTATTGAAATAAATATATATCATTTTTATTAAATAAAATTTTATGTAAGTGATTAATATTAAAAACTTTGAAGAAAACGTGCACAGTATTATCTTTCATTGTAGCAAGTATTAATATACAGCTAAATGTGCACAGTATTGTCTTTTTATAATAGTATTAACATATAGCTTACAGATATCTTCTGTAAGATTTTAAACAATATAAATAAAAATTAATTTGGTGATAAAAATTAAAATTAAAAATTACAAAGTACAAAATAATCATATAATAAATCTCAAGATATTTTTAATATCTATAATAAGTTAGTCAATAATTGGAGAAAGTATATTTTAAAAAATATGACTGGTCCATTAAGAGACCAACCATGGGGTTTACAAATTATAGAATATATGATATCCAAATGTTGTCCTCATCATCGAGTCAATCGAATGACATGGCATCAAGGTGGTATTTTGTTACTCACATATTTAGCATATACATGTTACCATATGACACGAAAACCTATGTCTATTGTAAAAAATGTGTTGAGTTTTAATTGCAGTACTTTATCACCTCCTCCAAATTTTTTAATTAATAGTAGTAATCGAGATACATGGTGTGATTGGGCTCCATTTGGTAAGAATAATATTATTTTAATAATTTTAATAATTCAAAATTTAAATAAAATTTATTATATATTATTTATTTTAATTAGACACTGCTGATGCTCCAGCATTGCTTGGCATATTAGATTCAGCATTTCTGTTTGCATATGCTGCAGCCATGTTCCTCAGGTGACATATTGAAGTGAGCTTATTTATGAAATCAGAGATTATAAAAATTATATTGATAATAATTTTGCATTTATATATACAGTGGTTTTATAGCAGAAAGAGTAAATCTACGATATTTTCTTACATTTGGCATGCTTGCATCTGGTATTTCTTGTTATCTCTTTGGTATTGCTAGGCCATATAATATTCATAATTTATGGTATTTTGTTCTTATTCAAGTAAGTATATGTATATAAAAAAAATTTTTTATTCATTACTTTTTTTGAATAAAATTAACATATATTATTACAATTAGGCAATAGGTGGTGTTTTTCAAACATCAGGTTGGCCAGGTGTAGTTACAGTTGTAGGAAATTGGTTTGGAAAAGGAAAAAGAGGATTAATTTTTGGAATATGGAATTCTCATACATCATTAGGAAATATTTTAGGCAGTTTAATAGCTGCTGAATTTGTGGAATCTGATTGGGGTTTAAGTTTTATGGTACCTGGAATAACAATGGGTCTTGCAGGATTTATAATATTTTTATTTCTTGCACCAAATCCTATAGATATAGGATGTATACCACCTGTTCCAACTAAATATAGAAAATTTGATACTGTTCATAGTTCAGATGAGGATAGTGGTGCAGAGGATTATGATCAATCATATAGTGTAAGTTAGAAATATATTTTTAGTGATGTTTTTATTTAATTTTCAGCATGTTGTGCACATTAGTTGTTTTTATTATTATTTATAGCATTGGAATGTAGACATAACATCTTTCTTAAATATTTCATATATATTAATATAATATATTATAATATCATTATATTAATATGATATGCAAAGAAAAATTTAGCATATTTCTTTACTTATATTAATTTTGTTTTATCTTAATAATTTTGGATGTTTAATACTAATTTCTTTCTATTTTTAAATGATAATTCTTTAATTTTATAATATTAAATAATATTCTAATTAGTTGCAAAAATATTTTTATTAAATTTTTATATTTATTTTTCTTTTTTGCGCATTGTATGCTCATTAAAGCTATTTACTTTATTATACTTAGCGTCTCACTTATCGCTGTGCCTACCGCGAACAGGTTGATATTGATGTAAGTGCATGCTTTGTTCTTTTTATGTAATTAATTATTTTATATATTATTATATTAACATAAAATTATATTGTGTTTCAATGTTTACTAACATTTTAATATTCAAAATTTTTTTGAATTTGCATGTGTATATGTATATATTTTTCCAATATTTCTATAAATTTATAAAAAGTTTATTTTCTAAGAATATGGAAGCTGCACGATCTGAAACTAGTCCAATATTACAAAGGCATAGACATGTACAAGAATTTCATAGAGGAAATGCAATTGGATTTGCAAAAGCAATGATGATACCTGGAGTAATAGAATATTCTCTTTCTTTATTTTTCGCAAAACTTGTTAGCTATACATTCCTGTATTGGTTACCATTATATATTGCAGCCTCAAGTAAGTATTTTTTAAATTTTAATTATAAATTGTATATTTTATGTTGAAATTTTTCATAATTATTTTTTTTTTATTTTTAGCTACATATGGCACAACATTAAGTGCAGATCTATCTACTTTTTTTGATGTTGGTGGTATTGTGGGTGCAATAGCAGCTGGTATTTTATCTGATTATAGTGGTACAAGTGCTCTAACATGTGCAGTCATGCTTGGATTTGCAGTTCCTATTGTATGTTTAATTTATATTGAAAATTTATATATAACAATTTAAATATTTATAATTTTTAGTAACTTAAGTTTTAAATATCATTAAATTAATAATTTACTTCTATAAAATTTTTTTATAACTTGTATAGTTATTCATATATGACTACATTGGAAGCACTGGATGGACATTCAACATTATATTATTACTAATAGCAGGTCTATTAGTAAATGGACCATATGCCTTAATAACAACTGCAGTATCTGCTGAATTAGGAACTCATCCTAGTTTAGGAAACAATTCTAAAGCTTTAGCTACAGTTACTGCAATTATTGATGGCACAGGAAGTATTGGAGCTGCGGTAGGTCCATTACTAGCAGGAGTAGTAGCACGTTGGACTGGTTGGCATAATGTATTTTATATGCTTATGGTTGCAGACATGTTGGCATTATTGGTAAGTTTATTTAAGAATTTAAGAAATTTATTTAAGAAATACTTAAGAAATAATTAATATTTTTAATTTTAATGTTTTGCTTAATTTTTAGCTTTTGTCAAGATTAGTTTATCGAGATGTACAAATATATAGACGACGACGAAGAACTATTTAATTTTATTCTTATTAAATAAAAAACAATGAGTATATATGTACAAATAAATAAGTTCTTAAATATTTATTTGTAACTTAAATCATTTTATAAATGATGTAAATTGTATAAAATGTTACATTTTATGTTCAATTATATTTAATTAAAATTTGAATGTTTTATCAAATTTTAATCTTATTTAAAATCAGTATATCTAAATAAATAATATATTTTTTACATCTGAAAGACAATTATTATTTAATTAAATACCAAGACAAAAGAACAGTCTTATTTTATTTTAATTTGTACAATAAAAATTTATATTATAATAATCACTTAATATACAAAGATAGATATATTTTAACATCAAGGAATGCCAGTTGGAATTATGTAACTAATAGAATCTGCAAATTCACCCCATGCTGCTCTTTGTGTTTGAAATGTAATAATCCATGCTAAAAGAGCAGCTGACCATATAGCTGCTCCAATTGCAGAAAATATTACATCTGAAAGTTAATAAAAATATCAATATATATAATAAATATATATATATATATGTATATATTTATTTAAATAAAAATTTTTAATATAATAAAAAACTAAATTAAATTAAAATATAAGATTTGATAAAAATAAAATCAATAACATTAATTAATTAACCAATTAACTAATATAATATTATGTCTTATAATATAATAGAAAATTTTCATTACATAAAAAGAATTACAAAATTCAGATATATTAAAATAACTTGTATTAAGTTACTTATAACTTACATCTTTTAATTTGTTTTTGTTCCTCATAATGTGGTTCGACGAAAGCTTCTTTTGCAAACCAAATAGCATTCACAGCCCAAAGAAATGGTAGAAAAACAAATCCAGCTTCAAAAATAAAGAAATATTTATATATATTTATAAATGAAGAATAAAGCAATTAAATATGCATAATTTACCTCTAAAATACCATTTGCAAAGATATAATTTTTTATCATTTGGAATTTTTGATAAATCCATTGTATTAATAATCTCAAAATTATAACCTATATCTTTGTTACATCAGATATATAAATATACACTTGATATTACTTTAAATATCTTAAGAATATATATTTACAGAGTTTTAAAAAACTATTAAAGATACTAATAAAAACAAGGAGATATGTGAAAGAATAATGCAAAAACCACACGTATTACATGTCTAACCAAAATTTAAGATTTTCTTTTAAATAAAAGTATTATTTTATTTTCTCAATAGATGGAGCAATCATATAATAAAAAAAAGAAAAAAAGCATATTTTAGTTGTTCTCATAGGAAATTTATCAAATATAAGAAATCATTTCAAAAATATATATTATAATATGAAACATTATAATGAATATTGTGTGCACTTAATTGTACATGAACTTTATATTTTATAAGAAAAATTAAAATAATAATTTTAAATAAAGATCTGACTTAAACAAGTGGATGAAATTTTGAATGAGCACCATATCACTAATCATGATGGTGGGAGCACATCACGTGATCAGTTAACTTGCTGCTCCGCTTGTCGCGCGAGTAACCGTGGCCAGCCATTTTGATTAGTAACATGGCGTCAGCGGAGATTAATATGGCGTCCTCGGACATAATAACCGAAGTGGAGATTCAACCAGATATCCAAGAGGTTGAAATAGAAACAATACCAGTAGAAATACCCTGTGAGACTGTGGAAACTACAATCGAAGGAGAAGATGGGCAACCGATGATAGCTCTTCAAACTCTTCCAGAGCCAGGACGCGAAGAAATCATACTACAGACGCAAGAGGAAATCGTCGGTAGTGATCCACTAAGCGTATATGATCAAATCCCAGTTCCAGAGAACGATATTTATGTCGAGTCAAGCCCTGGTCCATCGAGGAAGGGTCCTAAGAAGGCCAGAAAAGGTGGTTCGTCGAAATTTAAATCGTCTGATCATACGATTTTTGGGGAAATGGGCTCAGAAACGAAGGCTAGAAAGTGGGAGCAGAAGCAAGTGCAAATCAAGACGCTCGAAGGTGAATTTTCTGTGACGATGTGGGCATCGGGTACTGACGACGGTAAGTTTTACATTTATTTCTAACCTTTTGATAGTTTAAATAAAACACAATGAGGTAATTAGAAAACTTTTTGTAACGAGTTCTTCATGCACACTGTTCATACGTACTTCCGGTGATGTCGAATCAATACTGTAGTTTCCAAATGCGTTTCTCAAAGAAATTAATAGAGTCCTCTAATTTTTTATTATTGATGAATTCGTTGACAGTTTGCGTTGTTTGTTTTGATCGAGGGAACGCCATTATGCTACCAGGGGGCAGCCATATTTTGAAAATGGCTTCTTTTACGTGGATCTGTCTTGTTGAATGATAATGGCGGAGATATACTTACAACAGAATAGACAAAGATCTATGCTTGTATTATCTTTATTTTTTTTAAGTACGCATTATTTGATATTTAATTTTCTTTATTATATTTGTTTCTGTATATTTAGAAAAAAAAATAATTTGTTTTTTGTATTAAAATTATTTAAAAAAAGATAGATTCTTTCAAATATGAAACACTTTAATTTCTTACATCATTCGATGTAATACTTGTTTCTCTTTAAATATTTGCAATTATTAAATTAATTTAGAAGATTAAAATTTTAATTTTCATTTTAAAAAATTCTATCAACAAATAAATCATAAAAAAAAATAAAAAGATATTAAAAAAATAAAATAAGTTGACAAATAATACATAATCGTACATTTGTATTATTTAAATCAATAATCAAATTAATTCATTAAATATATTTTAAAATGAATGTGATATAAAAAGAAATAAAATTATGAGATTTTTTTCTTAAATACAAGTTTATATATTATTTTTATATCTATGTATAAGAAAAAAAATAATGTATATCTATTGAATTTATATTTTATATATTGAAACAAAATATTAATGGAATAAATATTTTTCATATTAATTTTTTTGTTATCAAATTCGTATATATTCTTTTATATTAAATATAGTATATTTTATTCATAATTTATTCATAATTATTTATTTATTCATAATTATTCTATATAAATTCTTTATAAATTATTTTAATATATAATAATTTTTTAAAGAATATATATATAAATATGAATTTTTAAAGAAATACTTTTTTTATATAAAAATACAAAAAAAATACTAAAAAAAGTTTTTGCTATTCAATTTATATATATAAATATTTATTTTTTTTAGTTAAATAGTTATAAAAAGTTTATTCATTGTAAAAATTTATTCTGTTATTATATGTAGATAAAAATACGTGATTTTAATAATAAAAAATAAATACAGTAGCTTTTGTTTGGGACTGCTTGTTTGTTGTTGTTAAAGGGAGTGTCCTATTAGCTCCTCACCTGGTGGATGTTCCAGATGAAGGCTCAAATCCAGAGCCTGATCCAGACTACACAGAATACATGACTGGTAAATCCAATGCCAAATTCAATCATTCTGGAAGCTCCATTTCTGATGGAATGCCAGGTCTTGACCTTTCGGATCCCAAACAACTGGCAGAATTTGCTAGGCCGGGCCATAAATTGAAAGTACGCAAACCACCTGTTCTAGATGGTGTTGAACGTACTATAGCCTGTCCACATAAAGGATGCACAAAAATGTTCAGAGATAATAGTGCAATGCGTAAACATTTACATACTCATGGGCCAAGAGTGCATGTATGTGCAGAATGTGGGAAAGCTTTTGTTGAAAGTTCTAAGTTGAAAAGGCATCAATTAGTTCATACAGGAGAAAAACCTTTCCAGTGTACATTTGAAGGATGTGGTAAAAGGTTTAGTCTGGATTTTAATCTTCGTACACATGTTAGAATTCATACAGGAGACAGACCTTATGTTTGCCCATTTGATGGATGCAGCAAAAAATTTGCACAATCAACAAATTTAAAATCACATATATTAACACATGCAAAGGCTAAGTAAGTATTTAATTCCTGTTTTTTTTTTTAAATGTATTTTTTAAATGAAAACTAATTAACAAATAATTATTATTTAGTAATATGAATTATTTGATTTTTATAGGTCACGTAATGCTATTGGAAGACAAGTACAACAAATTCAACTTCAACAACCTCAATTTGTACAAGTTGAAGTTGCAGATGTGGATAATCAACAGTTCATTGTTTATGCTGATTAGCCCCCCTAAACAATGATCTCATATCCTATAAACTTATTATGAAATATCGTAATCATTAATTAGTAACCTAAACAGTGTAAATATTTTCATGATATAAGTGATGCGGGCAGGACATTACTAAGCTGTTAGTTATCTTAAGAGAAGAAATTAATTAATCAATTTATACCTCTGTGCTTAGACGCAAAGTAAATGGATATCACAAGCACTATACTACCTATCTATAAAAAATAAAATAAAATTACACTAAAGAAGGTAGTATCTTCTGAGACATATAAAGTAGAATATGGCGCACTGCTCAATCTCATGTTTGAGACACACTAAATGATACTTAGTGCGCACTCGTAATACAACTGTATATATTTATACGTAAAGTAAAATATTGTATACAGTATATTTTGGAGAAATTCTGATGAGAATAAACTACAAAATACGTCTTTTCCGTCGGATTCAATTGTACTACTTTAATATACTTTTTACATCATATAATGGTAACTGTTAATAGTCATTGGAAAAAGGAAACATAAATGCGTCTACTGTGTATTATACCTTGATGTCCACAAAATATGATACATTTATTCCTGTAAAATTATTGAGATGTTTTTAAGTATTGTCTATTTCAATAGACATTGAAATGTTGTAAAATCAAATGGATGCGTGTTTAATATTGCGGCATTTAGAAAAAGCACCAGTCATTTTGAAAGACGTACGTTGACATAATATATTTTATCCGTGATATTCACGAATACATTGTGATGTATACATGTACATCGTTGCAATGACGTTAACAAAGTTGTTAAGAAGTTCGTGTCATTTCGAAGTAGGAAGCAATAGTTTATAGATAGATTTATAATATTTACTGTATTAAATGGCGATTGCGTGCATCCCATTACATCGTTATTCATTAATATTCGCATATCACAATTTTATACATGCAGCTACAACGTTAAAATAATTCAATCTATATATTATTTCTAGAATTATTTATAAAAAAAATTTGGATAATTTATTTAAGTCGTATAAAGTATATTCTTTCATCAAATTTTGTTTGCAGCTATTCACCTTATTTTTCATAGCTATATCCATTAAAAAAAAGCTTTATTAAAAAAAAGAAAATTTCTCTATAAGTATTTCTTAAAAATTAATTTTCTAAAATATTTTAACAAATATTATATATTAATCATCTATAATAATCTTGGTTTTTATTTCGTGTATATTTCAATGTATATATATTTATACTTTTCTCATAAAAATTATTATAAATTTTAATAATAGAGTATATATATGATATGTAATTTGGCCTATATTTTCATATGAATGTATATGAAAAGAAATTTAAGAAATATTTGTAGAATTTTTTATATGTTGGACAAAAATAGAAATTTTTTTTTTAAATTTAATCCATTATACTTTATCAATAAGTATTTTTTATTCATTTTTATATTATGAACATTCAACATAATTTTTTGCATACTGTAATAATTATTGCTTCCTGCTGGAAGTAATACTAAATATAGTTTGAGGTACATAAAAGCAAGCTTTTTGTATTTGAGTATTACCAAACTAGTATTACAAATTAACTTTTTTAAGTTAAAATTTATACCAGTGTATTTAAAAATAAGGATATATAGTTTTCTAATTTTTATTTTTATTATTACACATGCAAAATTTTTTATACTGCGATAATTTTATAAAGTTACAATGTTTACATATATATAAAGAGAGAA